TAAGGGTATTATCGGCAAATAAGGCGTTAGTGTAGATTTCGATAGTATCGCTACCCCCTAATTCTAACGTAAACGATTAGCTACTAATTAGATAAAGGATTAGATAATCGGCGGCCATATAGTAAATAGGCCCTAGATTAACATTAAACCGGTATACCCTGGATAGTATAAACGCGATATCAGGGCGCGATATTACTACTACGTATAGTATAGATCCTATCTTCCGTTAATAGCTTTTAATATCCGTCGACGTCCCTGAATAGGGTAGTAGTTCTGCGATCTTAATTAGGTGTATTAGGCGATAATTACTGCTATACTTACTATTTAGCTTTAAAAGGCGTTCTAATTTAGTAATATAATCGCGTTATAATAGCTAGATTTTAGGGGCAGCGCGGTCGCGAATAACCTTAATACTAAGGAACTACTATAGAGGATCGCTACCTTATAGGTTTTAGTGGTATTATAGGTTATTAACGGCCTGCTTTATCTACGCCTTATATTATTCCTTATAAGTAATAACGATATTATTAACGTAGAAGAATAGGATTAAACCGCGGCGTAGAAAATAACACGGTTCTTACGGCACTATCTAAAAGCCGTCCGCTAAAAGGATAGCCGAAAAGTGCTTTTACTAAAGCAGTAGAGACTCCTTAAGTCTATAGAACGCCTTTTTCAGGTATAAACGACTCCTAGGGGCTAGAAAGCCTAGCGGCGGGTATATAAAGCTATCGTGGGGGAGGGGCGCGTGTAGAAACACGTTTATAATATTAAATTATAATAGTATAAGGTTAAATCGGGCGGCGATAGCTATTAACGCGCGGAATAACTATCCGGCTAGTATTACTACGTACGTCTCCTTAAGCGAGGATTAATACTACTAATCTCCTTATACTATAAGCCTTACCTTATATTTATATAGAAATCTATACTTATCGAACTTATATATTATTACCTATATCGAATTAAGAACCTAATATCTATCTACTATAGACGCCGGCACCCGTATCTATAACCCTATCTCCTCGTGGCTCTATAGGTAGTCTTCTTATACCTATTAGAATAAGTGGCCGTAAGGGTACGAGGGTATATCGCGAGGGTTCTTTGGAGGAGGAGGGAGGTCTTTACGGTGAATCTTTACGGCCGCCGGGGTAACCGCTAAAGTACCCGCCGAAGTAACCACCGGGGTTATATTTCCCGAGATAGCCTCCCGGGATATACTTCCGGTAGCTACCACCGGGGCGATAGATTTATAGGGTATTATTAAGCGTCGCTATAACGCTATAGGCGTAGACCTTTTTAACTATAATTTAATTAGCGGATTCCTATTTAATATATATATATTAGGGGCGTAGCGGCTAGCGTTAAACGTAATAACCTAATAGTCTCTTTTCAAGCTATCTCCTTACCAAATTAGTTACGCTCCTTTATTTAATAAGAGCCCTATAGCCGTAGCTATAGGAGTATCGTAGCACCGTGTTCTGTTATCCTAGAACCCTACGGCTATAGGCGTATCACGGTTTCCTAATATAACGGCTGCTATTAGCGCTATAACCGACGGCGGGGTTATTAGTGGAGTAGGAAGTAATGGATCGGGCGGATATAGACGGTGATTAGGCGTTATACCGGCTAAATCATACTATTCGTGACCTATATCTTATCCTAATTAACTCGAGATAGCCTCCTCCACCCCCTTACGGCCGGGTATTACGGACTATAACCTTAACGGTAAAGCCGTCGAGGAAGGGGATCAGGGGGCCTTTATCCCCGGATCTAATAATTCAAAATAAGCAGTTATATAAAGAGGGGGGGGGGGGTCCTTAGCTTATACGTCCGTAAACGGCCGTGAATCTCTAGCCCTCTCCTGCTTAATCTAATTAATTAGGTCTTCTAATTACTCCTCGGTTAATTAACGGAGGTTATCCTTAAAGGTAGCGATATCGCCGTTAAAGAAGGCGTGTTTATTAAAATCTATATCGCGCGTTCGAATAACGCGGTTATAGCGGCGTAGGCTAGGCACCTAGATACGGAAAATATTAGTGGAATCGTAGCCGATAAGGTAGCCGATATAGGCGCGAGGAGCGATACGATTTAATAGCTTATTAGTAGCCTTTTAGGCATCCTTTATTATCGCGTACGCCTTATAGCCGTAAGCTTAAAGGTATAATAAAATCGGCTTCCTTTTAAAGAGGACCTTATAGGGCGTTTTCTAATCCTTTTACTGCCTTCGTAGCGTCCGGTTATAGACGTATACGGCCGTCGGAATAGTCTTAGGCTATATAAATGGCGGCAGTTTAGTATAGATATTTATCGTATAACCCTTCGAAATAACCTCGGCAGTAGCGCGTTCGGCACCCCTATTCTATACTTAAGTGTCGGTAGTAGATACCTCTAAAATAATGTCCTTATTATATAGGAATTAGGTGATATCGTGGGATTAAGTTAGCTCGTTATTAGATTCGAAAACGCGTACCTTATAGCCTAATTAGCGGTCTACCTAGGCGAGGAATTCCTTAATTATTATAAGGATATCTACTACTAGCTTGCTCTTTATAACGTAGGTGGCCGTAAAACCACTATAACGGTCGGTGAAAAATATAAACCTCCAGTCCCCGTTAGACGTTTATTTAAAATCCGTGAAATTAATCACCTATCGCTCCCCTGCGTAGGTAGGTGTAGTGCGAGGGCGCCTGCTAATATACCGTTTTATCTTTATAAGCTCGTAGGTCTTATAGTCGATAGTTATTAGTCCCTTGATTTCAACTCCCTTCGTCTGCTCTTCTAGGTGCCGAAGTCGTTTAGAGCCTGCGTGCCCTAGGCGTAGATACTATAAGATGCCCTCCGTAGTGCTTGGATACTGTATCGTCGATTTATGGACGCCTTTTCGGGTAGCAGAAGAAGAAGAAGAGCCTAGAAAAGCAGCCGTAGATCGGTTAGAGGCCACGTATTTAATAACGGTTTAATCGAAGCGGTGACTTAGCTAGTATAGTATAGATCTATCGGAACGCCGAATACAGTTATTTAGTGGCTTCTAACCCTACTAGTATCCTCGAAGACGTAGGCGTTAGTTAGAGATTAAATTACAGGCAAAATCCTTATAGTATACGACGTTTAATAGCCTAAATTCGAGGCCTTCTATTAGTCCGTTTAATCTTACGGTCACGTTACCGTAACCTTTAATAGGCAGGGACGAACTGCCTGCGACTACATAGTCTCCCGGCGTAGCGGGTATAAAATCAGAAAAACGGGAAAAATCGTTGAATATATAAATAGTGGCACCGGAATTAAGGATAGCAGAGGTTCGAAGAGGGTAACTAGCAGTAGTGCCAGCCGTAAAGGTGGCGGCGTAGGAGACGCCGCTACGGACGCTACCATAGTTAAGTCACGCCTCTTTAAGCAATATAGAGTCCCGGCTTATATCCTTCTTCACCTTCTTTACGGCGCGTAGTTCTTCCACTTCCGCGCGTACCGAGGGGTCGTATTTAAGGATCCGTTAGACGGTTATTTTAGTGCTCTCGAAGTGTGTCTAATCGTTATATACCGTATCCGGGAATAAATAGAAGTAGGCGTTAATATCGTGGCTAGGCATAGCGTACACGCGGTAGATCTAACCTCTTTATAGAGCAGATTAGCGGCGTTTAAAAAAGGAATGGTTAGCTAAAGCAGCTAAATGTGTGGCTATAGATACCGCGGTAGTAGGATTCTTAGCTTTATTCTTCCTATAGCCGCCCTTCTTACGGGGCTTAGCCGTGGCCTTTAAGGTATCTTTACCCTTTTCGCTTCCGGTGTATAATGCAGGGAATACTATAGCGCGGTGGCTACCGCGTTTTCCTTAGTCTTTAAGTCTAGTATTAATATACTTCTAGCCGAGGGTGTAAAGGTCTTCGGGTATAACTACTTAGTTATCTATAAAGCGTCCCTCGGCCTTAGTCTAATCGCGGCCGGTATAGGGGCGTATACCTCTAAAGAAGTCTATAACCTATATATACGTGGCGGGCTTCGAACCGGCATCTTCACAACTTTATAGTAGCAGCTACCACTTATCTAACCACTCCCCGAGCTTCTTAAGGCTATTCGTAGGGTACCGTGCGTGCTCGATATACTCTTCGTGGGTATCGGTTTAGCGGGTAGCCAGGTACTAATCCGTATCGCGTTTAACGGCTTCGTACACCTCGCGAGGCGTGCCTCCTCGTAGTAGTTATCTACGGCTTTAGTCGATAGTATTAACCTGCTAGGTCAGTATAGCGTTGATCCCCTTTAGGCAGCTATCGTATTGCGTTTATAGAATCTTCTAGCGCGCGATTTCGACGTCGTATACTTTCTGGCCGGCGTCTATAAGGTCGAGATATTACGTAGGCGTATACCTAGGTGTTATAGAGGGGAAAGAGCCGTAATCCGGTATTATAGGCTCCTCGGGGGACTAAGTCAGATTAACTAGGCGGAGAAACCTCCACACATTATTATAGGTAGTAACCGATTCGTATAGGCATCGCCAGAGCTCCTAATCCTTATAGGTTTTATACGTAACAGAGCTAAGATACGATATCTTAATAGTTATTTATAGATTAATACGCTATATCGGCGTAGCTAGATAGCTTCTTAAATCGGTAGTAGTAGTAAAATAGTAGATAAAATAGGTATATCTTCACTTAGTAAGTAAGACTCTTAATTATCAGATAAAGCGTAGTCAAAATCGTCGTAAAAATAGGTCAAAATTAATTAAGGTAATTATATACTCTTATAACTATCTTAGACCGTCAGGGAAACGCTGCCACCGTATTTTATATAGTGCAGATTCTGCAAGCGTCCACCCGGATTATACTCTTAGCAATCCGGCCTATTACGTAACCGAAAAGACTATAGTCTGTTCGACAGAATATGGAACTCCCTTATCACCACGTGATAACGCGTTTGGTCACGGTACGTACCTTAGGATTTCTGCTTTTTTCCATCTTCCATGGTGCTCGAGGTTTTGAACCGACAACCAGGACGGCATCCAACTCCTCCTATTATCTAATCGCCCGCCATGTCGAAAATGCTGGCTGCTGGCAGCCTCAGAAATGTCTGCCCTGGCTGCAGGGCCCGCGTTTCGACCTTGTCAGTCCGTCGTATTTCCTCTCACACCACCTTCGTATCCCCCTCGGTCGCTTCTCGTCGCGGAAACCAGATCCTCCCCCTTTCCGCAACAACGACAGCGACTCGCGCCCAGACGCTACGGACATTCCACACATCACCGAGGTCTCTGCACGACCCTGTGGGAAGCAAACAGGCACCTCCCGATCCAGCGTCATCTTCAGGTCAACCAGCGACGCAAGGCGACAGCGTCGTCTCCGACATCGAGACCGTCGTCCACGAGGCTCGGCAGCGGTTTCGAGACACCCTCCCGAAGGACTACCTCTCAAAAGAAGAATATGAACTCTACGTGCGACTCTATGGACATCCATTGAGGACGACGACGCCCGAAGATGTCGGAATGCCTTTTCTCGGTGTCGATGACACCCCGTCCAGCTCCGCTCGAAAGAACCCAGGAGACCCTGTGCTTCTCCGAGAAATCGAAGGCGGGGAATTTGAAGAGATTACATATGTCAGGGAGACGGTCACGTCGGAAAACGATGCGACGCAGTCGGCGGCGACGGACGAAGACACGACCCAAACCAACCCACCGCAGCCGAACGAGGACTCGCTGTCGGACGCTCAGGTGGAATATATCAGTGCTATCGCGCGGAACCAGAGAGAATACGATGCGCTCATCCAACTACGAAAAGACTTTGAGGCTGCCAACTTGGAAGCCTTGCGAGATGCGGAAGAAAGGGGACAAGAGAGCTTCTCGGGCAAGGTCCGTGCAGAGGTACGCGAGTCAAATACGGGAACACCTGAGGCTGCGGTGCGAGATGAGATCGAACAGGAGAGGACCTTCGGGAAGCGAGTACAGTCCGCGGCGGCTGAGCAATTCTTTGACCGTCTCGACCTCGACGAGGTGGAGGGTCACGAAGACGACCGGGCCACGACAAGTAGGACACATCCCTACACTGTGGAAGGCCGATTCTCGACCAACCCGCGCACCCTGTTTCTTCCCCAGACCACGTTCAGCGACCCCATCGATCAGCTCCTCGAACGGACATCGATCAAACACATCAGGGAGGCAGCCGAATCCTCCCTCGGCGGTCCCGGACTTCCCCATTCGCCCGTAACACCGGCGTCGAAGCGGAACGTGCCGCAGCAGGGACTAGGTCTCCGAGCCAGCCAGCACAAAATGACGCAGATCGAAGCGGACGCCTTCATCGCGGCGGTATTACCGGGCGCATACGCCGCGGCCATGAGCACGCTCGTCGAAGTGAGGAAGCGGCTCGGCACCGACTGGCTGCGCAGCCTGCTCAAGCGGGGCGCCGGCCCGGGCCAGGGTCCCCGCGTGCTCGATTTCGGCGGCGGCGGTGCCGGCCTCGCTGCGTGGCAAGACGTGGTGCAGGCCGAATGGGACGCCATGCGGGACGGCGGCGATAAGCAGGCCAATAAGGGCGCCGCCCCCCCCGGCAAGAAGACGGTGGTGATCGGGTCCGAGAGCCTCCGGCACCGCGTCTCCCGGTTCCTGCACGACACCACCTTCCTCCCCCGGCTCCCGGATTACCTCCACTCGAGCGAGACGGCGGACCAGCACCTGGACGCGCCGCAGACGCCGCAGCCGCGCAAGGTGTACGACGTGATCGTGGCGTCGTACGTCCTCCTGCCGGTCAAGGAGGACCACCGGCGCAAGGCGGTCCTGAACCAGCTCTGGTCCCTGCTCTCGCCGAACGGGGGCGTCCTGGTCGTGATCGAGAAGGCGCACCCGCGCGGGTTCGAGGCCGTCGCCGACGTGCGCGACAAGCTGCTCAGGGAGTACCTCGTCACGCCGGACAAGTCGGCCACCACGGGGCGGACGGCGCACGAGGCGAAGGAGAAGGAGGAGAACATGGACCCGGCGTTCACAAGGGTGAAGGAACCGGGCATGATCGTGGCGCCGTGCACGAACCACCGGGCGTGCCCGATGTACAAGACGCCCGGGAAGAGCGAAGGGCGGAAGGACATCTGCTCGTTCCAGCAGCGGTTCGTGCGGCCGCGGTTCTTGCAGCAGGTGTTGGAGGCGAAGCACCGCAACCACGACGACGTCGAGTTTAGCTACGTGGCGATCCGGCGCGGGGTCGAGGCGCCGGCGGACATGTTGGTCGGGACCGAGGCGACGGAGAGGGCTTTTGCCGGGTACGGGGGCGAGGGCGAGGTCGAGGCCGAGGACGCGGACGGGGAAGCTGTTCGCCCGCCGCACATGCTGTCGCTGCCGCGGCAGGTCCTGCCCCCGTTGAAGCGCAAGGGCCACGTGCAGCTGGAGGTGTGCACCCCCTCGGGCAAGATCGAGCGGTGGACGGTGCCGAAGAGCCGTGGAAGGCTGGCGTACCACGACGCGCGCAAGGCGGCGTGGGGGGACCTGTGGGCGCTCGGGGCCAAGACGAGGGTGGAGCGCGGGTTAAGGCTGGGGCGTCCGACGGTGGAGGATGACGGCGGGGTGAGGGCGAGGCAGGCGAGGGAGGCGAGGGAGGCGAAGGGGGGAAAGAAGAAGAGTAAGAAGGTGAACATTGATTATGACGAGACGGGGATCAAGGCGGTGCGGGGGGTGGATGTGACGCCTGACAGACGGACGAAGGGGGGGAGGAAGGCGAGGCAGACGAGTTTGATGGAGGATTTGATGGCGGAGGAGGAGAACAGATAGGGGGGGCGGGGTGGTGTGGTGTAAGTCTACGGTCTACGATGTCTACTGCTGTACAACCACCTGTATATTTTGCGTCTTATGGATAAGACGGCGCGTGTAAAAGATCTACGGAGTTTAAGGATACGATACAAGGATTGCCTCCCTTGTCTTGAGCCGTCTATCAAGTCTCCCAAGTACCGTACCATCTGGCCAAGCAGAAGATACAGGTCCCGGATTCAGCATCTCCGGAGCCCGGATGGTGGGTCCCGATAGAGGACCGTTTAACCTCTATCGATTGGTGGATAAGGCCGGCAGTCGGGATGGTGTGATTCGGTAGCGTGAAAAACAGGCATCTCATAGGCCTTTGATTGGTCCAGACTTTTTTTCCACCGGAGATGCTGGATGATGCACGTGCATATACAAGGACAAAGTACTCTCAACTACCTATTCAAAGTATCCTGCTCGGCCGCCTCCTTTTCTTCCTCTCTCCTTCACCTCAGATATTATAGTGAGATGGTCCTACAACATCAGAGAACCTATTCATCATCTTTGTGTTGCTTGCTCTGCGACTCTATGATATTCCAAAGGATCTCAAAGTCCTCACATGTCATGACAGATTGAAGGGAAAGAGACGGATAATTCAACAGGCCGAAGTCGGAGACAACCTCTATTTCCACTTTGCCCCAGCTCAACGACCAGCAGCGACCAGCAGCGACCAGCAACGAGTCAACGACCAGCAACAACTCAACCAACGGCCACCATATCATCACATCCAAGTCTTCGAATCCTCCATCAGAGACTCGACACCCAACAGCCAAGCCAGACCAGCAAAAAACCCATGACAACAGATACAGACGCCACGTCCCTGCTGGCGGCCTTCAACTGCAGGGACAACATCCACCTCATCATCGGCACCAACCCCCTGGCAGCATCACGATGCGGACAATCCCTCAACGCCGGGGCGAAACCCGTCCTCATCGCTCCCGAAACAGCCGAGCTCCACTACGGTCTAGCTAAGAGGATAGAAGCAGGGGAAGTAAAATGGCACAAGAAGGAATTCCAGGACAACGACCTCTTCACCCTGGGAAGGGAAGACGTCGGAGGTGTGGTCGACGTCGTGTTCGTCACCTCGGGACCTCGCGACCCCTCGAGCACCCATATCTCCTCCCTCTGCAAAAAGAACCGCATCCCCATCAACGTCGTCGACGCCCCTCACCTCTGCACCTTCTCCCTCCTCTCTACCCACACCGACGGGCCGCTCCAGATCGGCGTCACCACCAACGGCCGAGGCTGTAAGCTCGCCTCCCGCATCCGACGGGATGTCGCGGCTTCGCTACCCCCGAACCTGGGAACCGCATGCGCCCGGCTGGGTCAGCTGCGTCGTCGTATCCAGCAGGAGGACCGTCTGGCAGTAGCCGCAGCCGCTACTGCGTCGGCAGCTCAACGGGAGGAGGCCGATCATGACGATGACGGAGGCCACGACGTTCACGATGCAGATGATTCGGTTGAGCAGTCCGCCTCGTTTAACCGTCTCGTGACCGAAGATGACGCTGACGCCGCAAAGACCCGCCGTATCCGCTGGCTTTCCCAAGTATGCGAGTATTGGCCGCTCAAGCGACTCGCCGCCATCTCCGACGCGGACGTCGAAGCCGTCCTTCGCTCGTACGCCACTCCAAACGCGCACGAGTCTGCCCTGTCGCACATTGCTCCCGCCTCACCATCTCCCCCACCTTCGTCACCGCCCGTACCAACATCCGCGTCCGCATCAGCACCACCATTCCCACCACCACCACCACCACCACCACAACCACCAACCCCCTCTCCCCAATGCGGCCTCATCATCCTCGCCGGCAGCGGCCCAGGCCACCCCGACCTCCTGACTCGCGCAACCCACAAGGCAATCCAAACCGCCGACCTCATCCTCGCCGACAAGCTCGTCCCCTCGGCAGTCCTAGACCTCGTCCCGCGCCGCACGCAGGTCCGCATCGCCCGCAAGTTCCCCGGCAACGCCGACGCCGCACAGGACGAGCTCCACGCCGCCGCCCTCCACGCGGCGCGGGACCAGGGCCTCGTCGTCGTGCGCCTCAAGCAGGGCGATCCCTTCCTGTACGGCCGCGGCGGGGAGGAGGTGGCGTATTTCCGCGCACACGGCGTCCCCGCCGACCGGGTCGTCGTGTTGCCGGGCGTCACGAGCGCGTTGTCGGCGCCGCTCTTCGCGGGCGTGCCGGCTACGATGCGCGACGTGGCGGATCAGGTGCTCGTGTGTACGGGGACGGGGAAGAAGGGGCGGGCGCCCGAACCGCCTGGCTATCGAGCGGCGCGCACGGCGGTGTTTTTGATGGCGTTGCATCGGATCGAGGGGTTGGTGGACGAGTTGACGTCGCATGTCGAGAAGGAGAAGGAGGGGACGGAGGGGGGACGCGGGGAGAGGGTGTTGTGGCCCCGGGATACGCCTTGCGCTGTTATTGAACGGGCTAGCTGTCCTGATCAGCGGGTTATCCGGACGACGCTGGCCTTTGTGGCGCAGGCTATCGAAGCGGAGGGGAGTCGCCCACCTGGGCTGTTGGTTGTTGGGAAAGCCTGCGAGGCCTTGTTTGCGCCGGAGAAGGGCAGAGTTTGGACTGTCGAGGATGGATTCAGGGGGTTGGACTTTGGGGAGGATGTGGTGTTGCCTGCCTGACAAGGAACATGAGTGTTTGTCTCTCTGGTCCGTCCTTGGCCTGCTGCCTTCCATGGCTTTCGTTATCAAATTCCAAGTGGTCAGCAAACTGTTATGAGTTCAATGTTACCATATTATACACAAGGACATGATCACAGCAAAACCTCCACCACTTTATGCACCCACTCTGTGAACTCAAGATGAAATACCATACAAACCATCCACGAGTCTTATTGTCTTTATTGTCTTTTTGTGCCAAGATAACAGCATACTTCTAATACACTGAGACGGACAAAGAGGTCAGTCACCTGATAGTTAAGGACTTCACGGAGGAGACTGACCTCTATGGACTACGGGGCCGGCGTCAGGCGGAACACTGCGGAATCCATCAGTCCGTTTATTCCACTTCCAACGAGTCGTTGGCTTTCACAATATGGAAAGTAACAGGAGGAAGGAGCTGACAATATGCCGTCTTTCAATTTATTGATCATAAAAATCTTTTCCTAAGGGTCAAACTGGAAATTCTTTTCTTCTCTTTGCACGCCTCTTGACCCCCCATCTTTGGCACATCAAAAACACTTTGGTCAGTACAAGCCTTGAGACAGACTGGAACAACAAAAAGACTGACTAGACTCATAGCCAGGAAGAATAACAAAAGAAGGAAAGCAGAAAAACAACAACTAGCTCCCAAGTCAGACTCTAGGCATCATGATCGGCCTCCTCAAGCTCATCCTCTGGACCACGGCTGCCGCCGTGGTCAGCGCCACGGCCTACATCTGGGCCGTCTTCCGAAGCGTCTCGGCCATCAACGGGGAGCACATGCAGACCTCAACCGTCGTCCCGTCCTCCCTCATCCGGTCGACGACCGTCCGCCGTCTCGTCAACCCCCGAGGCCACATGATGGTCTTTTGCTCGTTCGCTTACACCTTTGAGCTTCGGGGCCCGCAGGTCATCGTCTCGGACGAGGCCGTCCTGGCGCGGTTTGTGCGCGGCTTCTTTTTCGGGCCGGTCCTTGCTGTTGAGAGGACTTTTATCAAGATGTTTGTGCCGGCGCTGACGCGCTTCAAGGGTGAGTTTGTTTACTTTTTTTCTTCTTCTTTTTCTTTTTCTTTTTTTTTTTATAAAAGTAAAAGTATTAAGAGCACTTGCCTCTGCTTCATCCATGTCTCACAGATGTGGAAACGAACAACGAACGCATTGCTAACATAAGAGAATGTAGACGCCCCCGGATTTGCTGATCGTCACAACGTTTGGTCCTCCTCCTCCCTCGCGCCCGACCACCTCCCTCCGAAAAACACCATCCTGTTCGGCTGCTTCTACGTCGCCGAAGTCAGCCTCGGCTTCCGGCACGAGGGCACGTACATCGACTTTGCGTTCGGCTCCGACGCCGGCCCGGCCGCGAGTCTGTACCGGTTCAGCGTCAAGCGGACGGGGATGCACGGCAACATGTACAGCGAGACGAACAGGGAGGTGGTGACGGTCCACCTGTCTTCGCTGAGCTGCAACCCTGTCGTCAACCGACCGATCATGCCGCAGTGGTTCCAGGTCTACCAGCAGATGTATGTCCAGTTGCTGTTCCGGGATGGCATGGCTGAGGTCATCAACTTGACTGGCAAAGTCTGGCCCAGGATCCCGGGTCGCGATACCCCTCCTCTTTGGGTCTTGCATTGAGATGAGAAGTCTGCGGGGGTGCTCTGGAGTCTGGGCTGAATGGAATATGCTCATGGATCCTGTGCAGGCTGTGCTTGGTTTGCTATGGACAGGACGCAAAGGAGATCATATGATGCCTCGTCGGTATTGTGCATATGATCCATAGCATTCATGGACAACCATTGTGCAATATTGCTTTAGTCTACTATTTGCCATTTGCTACGGCTACGTGGTTCAGAAGAGGTACTGGGGTGAGCCGGGAACTCTAGAGAGGCCTTAGAGGCTTGGCCATGTAAGTCATCTGGGCTTCGGACCTTCGTCCTGCGGCAGTCTCCGATCAATACGATACGAATACACAATACACAAAAACCAGTTATGTGCCATACGTCCATGAAGCCAACATCATACCGATAATCGACTGTGGGCCCCAAAAAGGACGTGGTGGTAACGATTGGCATGACCTGGGGATCATGCCATGATGCGACTCTTGGCCGAACCACACAGAAGTACGGCAAATCACAGGGGGCACTGTAACAACTTAAGAAAAACCAAAAAAAATAGTAGACACATACTAGAAGAATTAGTAAACACACCCGTACGCTATAGTATAGTTTCGTATAATTATATACGCTAGTAGTAAAGGCGATATATATAACGGCAGAATAAACTAATTAGCTGTAGAGAAATTCTTTTACTACTATAATAACTATAACGCCACGGCCTAACCTAATCTTATTTTTATTCCTTAGAGAACTATAGGCTAGTAAGTAACCCCTCATCTACGGCTCCGCGTAGCCTAGATCCATAAATTCTAGTACTAGGGCGTAATCCTACGGTGTAGAAAGGCTCCGAAAACTAAGTTTTAGTGTCGTTGCTACGCCGTATAAGGAAAAGTGTCATAGAATAGTTCTAGATATAGGCTAACGCGTACCGTGATAGGCGTATAATCTTAAATATCTCTATATATATAATAATATAAGTAAGTATCCCCTAGTATAAGATAGCGTCGGAAGAAGACTATAAATAGCCTTAGACTATCGGAGAATAGGTTTTGCCGGCTACGCCCGAGACTTAGCTTAAAGATACGCTGGGTTCCCCCCTCCTCGATGCGTTTATTCACGATCGTACGTACCTATATACGCTTCTCTATAATAGTATACTAACTATTCGATATATAGAACTACGAATAAACTACGCTAGCACTATTTCGTAGTACGTAAATAAGAATAAGCCCGATATACGTGTCCCTATATCTATATATATTACTATATACTAACGAATATATAGATTAAGCGTGGTGTTATTATACGCCGTAAGTACTAGAAGGGCGTAGTTATTAAATTTTCTGATTTTAATATAAAGCGGTTATAAGCCCTTTCGGGCGTATCTATATAGATATATAGCGACGAGAAATAAGGGCGCTATCGTTACGATAAGTGCGCTATAGGAAAAGGAACGCTTATATCCTGCGTTATGCTTAAGAGTTTTAGTAAAGGCGGGTGCGGTAACTACACGGTTAGCGCGGGTTCTTTTAGCTGCTCGCTAGCTCGTAAGTTTCCCAATAGCGCTATATAGTCTTATACTAACTAAGCTAGATATTAACGAAACGCCGCGTCTAAATAAACGTAAATATATTACGGGGGAGGGCTAGGTTAGTAAGAAGAAGACCTTGACCACCTCCGTCACTATTAACCTGGACGGTATTCCCGCGCGCTGGGTAAAGCGTTTTAGAGAAGCGATTACCGAGGCCGCTAAGGAGCGTAAGTGACTATTAGCTACCGTACGACTCTATATCTTCCTATACTAATAGATATATTAATACCCGATAATAATAAGGATACAGCTAAGGATAATAAGTCATTTTTTCTTTTTTGCCTTTATGTATAGTGGCGCCCGGCTGTTTTTTTCTTTTGCTTTTACTAGGGAACTAAGGTTAGGGCGGTTAATAATAATACCCTTTTTTTACTAAGCCATAAAATAATTTAAGTATATACTATATTATATATAGTTTAAGCTATATAAGTCGGACTTATAATAATATAAAGCGAATTTTATAGCTAATAATATACTTTTAAAAGCTCTTATTATTATATTATAGTAAATATAACTAAGCGTAATAATTAGGCTTATTCTAGTTAGTATATATTATAGTAGCTAGTAGTTACGATATAGTAGTATTAGTTTAAGCTAAAAAGTATATAGTATAAGGATGTATCTTTAAGCTATTATAACTTAATCTAACTATATAAATATCACCGAATAAGTATAATCTCTCTTACTATAATAGTTATAAATAGATATATAGGTCTATTACGCTGCTTTTAGCGATGATCATCGTTATATTATTTAGTGCACTTATTTAAGGTAGAAATCTATGCTAAATAGAGTCTAATTAGATACTACGCCCTATTAATAATATATAGCTTTTACCTAATTATATTAAGTTATTACTACGTTTTAAAATAAGTAGTTAATATCTAAATTACTATTTAAATCATAATAAAAGCTCTGTATACGTATATATATGGCCTTATACTAATATATTAGATAATTATAGTATATATAACTATTATAATTTATAGTTATTAATTTTATCTTATAATATACTATAAGTACTCGTAGTATTACTAATAGGCTAGGTTATACTATAGATATACGAACTTAGAAAAGTAATATTGTATTTATATTATTAGGTAGTATATATTTAAGAACAATTTAATTATATTATTCGACTCGCTTATATAGAAGCAGTCTATTATATACTATAAATAGTTATTAGGTAGTCGTAAATCCTAGTAATGGGCCGTATTCTAAAAGCGTTAATTTAAAGTAAGATTATAAGTAAAGTCTTTATAGTGGGTAATATTAAAGAGCTTAAAATCAAACCAGTCGATAATATATATATATATATATATATATATATAATAGTACTTACTATAAGCTTAAATAACTAGAGTTATATTCTCTATAACCCTATAGTCACTACGCGATATAGGCCTATAGTTAGTAAAATATATATAATTATTAAAGTATAAATAGTAATACGAAGATTAAGAATAGCCGACCTTTAAAAAGAGTAGTCGATAATA